TCAAGAGGACTCGGAGCCGACTGACAAACCGTAAAACTCAGGAGCAGATGAACCTGAGAAAACCTAAACTAAGGCGAGTCTGCTGACGGGTGTCCTGTAGGTGGTGCCGGCCCGACTAAAGTGAGACTTGTTACAGGTCCGTTGTGTCTGCTGGGGAGCTGCCCTGTTCCATGGCAGGATCTGCTGCACACGTCACCGTGACGACGGCTCAGGGGCAGGTACGTCATGTTTACGCTCTGGAAATGAGCTTAGGTTTCCACCCCGGGGCCCCTCAACACAGCATGAGTGCTGGTGAGTCTGCATTTCTAATGGAGGAAGTTTCTAGAAGGAGTCCACTTTCTTTTCCAGATGCTCAGCTTTTCGGAAGACTCCAAGGATGACACCTGGACCTACTGGATGATGTTGCCTGGTGTCAGATTCAGAAGCTCTCGGTAACTGACCCACTCGTCCCTCAGCGTTCTCTGATGGGAAACCCGTTGGCTTGTGTGATTATTTTAACTTTGATTTTGGATTTCCAGAAACTGATGGAGTGTTTGTCACGACAGAGTCGCTGCCATCGTTGAATTTATTAATGATTTTATTTTTTGTCATGTAATATCAAATAAAGCTCAAATTAAATATGTAGAATTGTTTTTGTAATTTTAACAATTGCAGGAAAGAGAACCCCTTCTAAACTTACGAATCTAAAGCACTTCCTAGAGAGCCATGTTGGGTGGAAATGTAAATGCACAGCAAGCAGGAATTCATGATTTCAATCGACTTTATAGAGAAACAGAAGTTATCAAACGGTACATTGTGATTTTAAAAATCACATCAACACAAACTCTGAGAACAGAAGAACCCAGCACTTCAGTACTGTGGAGCATTTAGTGAAGCTCTGAATCTAAATTTGTTGAGGACGGTAAACAGAGCAACTCAGTCTCCACCTCCATGGGTTCTTCCCTGGGGATCTGAGTGGAGGCGGGGCTTGATGATGATGGATGAGAGCTGCTGCCTGCAGATGAAACCATCCGAGGGTAAAAAGGACCCACCAGCCAGTTGAGCGGCGTGTTGTTGACCAGGTAATCCATGACATGGTCCAGGGAGTCCTTCATCCTTCCCAGCTGGACTCTGCTGCTGGATAGCACGCTGTCAGGCAGGTCTCTCAGCACCTTCGCTTTGCTGAAACTGAAGTACACCTGTGCTGCTGAGTGGCTGAAGGACAGCGCCTCCTGCTGGATGTGGTTGGGAAGTCCCTGCAGGCCAGAGACTAGGACCAGGCAGGTGGTCTGGAGCTGCTGAGTGAGGGAGCGGGCCAGGTTTAAGGTACGAGACTCGATCACCTAGGAGATGGAACACACATTCAATAACTCCCTAAATGGTCCAAAATAAGCCCATGAGTGGAGAAAGTGGTGTTTGAGATGTCTGGAATGTTGGAGGGAAAGCTCATCTGGATGTCCAGATGGTTCTTTCCTAGTAGCAACAATTGAATTGGCTCTGTGTGTATAATCACCTCTGCTGGGTGACCGTTCTGCTCAGTTGGACTACCAGACTTCCATGTCACCATCTGTTTGGCACTGTGGATGTTCTTGCCGTATTGGATCTAGAGAAAACGGCATCCATGGTTATTCACGTGCTTGGGCGAAGCACTAGCTTCACAAGTCAGGAGCGTAGCACACGCACCACATCCATGGTGGAGTTGAGCTCAGAAATGATCCCCATGCTGCGCTGCTTGCCGTCCCGTATCCTGGCCACGGCTCTGGCGTAGGCTCTCCTGCGGAGCTTTGTGGAGAGGCAGCCCAGGCGGACGTAGATGCTCGGCTCCTCTTCAGAGCCCTTCACAGGTTTGGCCTCCAGCTCTGTCACAAGGAACAGAAACATGGCCTTTTGAGATGGAGACATGCATGCTTAAAGTGCCTTCTGTTGGAAATGGATATGCTTAATTTGAGGGTCTGTTTCTAGAAAGTGTGGGAAGATCTTTTTGAAGCGGCTTCCTTCTGGAGAAAATTAGCTGCAGGCTTGAAAGCCTGAAGTAGTTATTCAAATTCCATTCAATTCAAAAAAACTTTATTAATCCCAGAGGGAAATTAGGAGTCTTGTTGTTCTTGTGTACTGATTCATCTTCATGAATAAACTTCTGTTCTCTACCGCTCGGTCTGAACTAGTCTCTGTGTGCCTGGGAGGGTTTTAATATCAAGCGGCTAATGCAAGCTGACATTCTGAAAATCCATAATCTGATCGTGCTTGCCGAGAACCAAATCTCAGCTCCCTGTTGCACTGTAAGTAATGAAATGTGGAGTCAACTTAAACTTGTGTCAACTGGTTCCAATAAACCTTGTTGCTCAGAGCATCACTAACTGCAGTGGATTATTTAGAACACGGCGATGGCGTTTTTTTTACTATAGACTTAAAATCGTGTGAGGGGATCAGTAAACGGTGTGAGGTAACTTGTATTATCCACAGAAACAACTCTGCTGGAAATGTTGGAGTAGCTGGACATTCGGGCTTTCCTGTCAGACTCTGAACCAGGAAATGGCTGCAGGCAGTGAAGCAGAAGGCAGATATCTCCAGAGCAACCAGTGACTCCGCCCCCTAGCCGATCAAGGTAGTTTTCCAGGAGCACTACTCGGAGTAACTCAGACAGATGCAGCTTGGCCTGAGCAGTTTCCAAGGACACGGTTCAGTATTTGCTCTCTCCTTTCTCCCCTAATTTCAGTCCCTGCTCGGTTGAGGTACCTCAACCCCTGCGTGCCACGGGTTCCCCCTTCCTCTTCCTCACCTATAAGGGGCGCACCCACTTTCTGTCATGGCACGGGCATGGGAGCAAAACCACACTCAGATGTTCTGACTCAACCCATGCTGTACAGAGCTGTTTTAGGCTGAATAGTGCTCATCGTAAACGAGCTCCAGTGGTAAGAACCACGACTCCGTCTTGCCAGGTACCTCAACGGAGAGGGACTAAAATTAGGGGAGAAAATAAAGTGAAAATACCGAACCGTGCTCTTGGAACAATGATTGGGCTGAGCTGTACCAGTCTGAGTTACTCCGAGTAGTGCTCCTGGAAAACTACCCAAAGCTGTTCAACTGGTTTCAGAGTCTGAAGATAATTCACATTGGACAGCATTGTCTCCCTCTGCTGGCCTGAAACGGTAATAGCAGTTTTGTGGTTTGATTAGGTACACTAGTGGCACATAGTGCAATGACTGGGGTGGAGTTTACCAATGATGGCTAAAATTAAGGCTACATTTTTTCAGTTTACTGGCCGTCAATAAAAAGCACAAGAATTTTACTTGTGTTGGCGTCATGAGTAATGTCTTTGGAGATGAAGCAAAGAGCCTAAACCACAGCGAACAGCGGCACAGCCTATGCTCATTGGGGGCTCTGGTAGTGTTGTCTGTAATTCCACCTTCAACCATTGGGAGAGAAGTGGCAAACGTGATACTTTAAGAGTACCTTTACTGTTATGTTTTACATTTAAGCAGCTAGGCTTAGTAGAACCACTTAACTGGTAGATTCAACCTTTAAATTATTACAGTGTAATAACACTCCCTGGAAGAACAGCATTGTTGGATGTAAGCAGTCTATTTTCCTTGTCCTGACTCACCCTCTTCCTCCTCCCTAAGAGGCAGATAATGCTCCACTAGACTCTCAGATGTGCTGAGGGCTGTGTCCACCCCACTGCTGACCAGCTGTACCACTCTACTCTCCAAAACTGTGTTCACGCTCCCGCTCAGCTAGTGGGAGCTTGCGCCATGGGGAAGTTTAATGGTAACTGGATGGTTAATCCCAATTTCGCAACGTGGTTAGCACCGGGTCCAGGCAATAGCTGGAAATTATAGCTTAAATTTAATTTTAAAAATAGCTTAAATTTGGTCAAAGTGGCCTTAAAAAAAGGTCTTAAAAAGTCTTAAATTTGGCTCCTTTAAACCTGCAGATACCCTGCATAGAAGAGAATCATGTATATTTAGTTGAGCCGGGCGGACACTGTACGACTTTTTCACTCGTAGCACTCAGCTTCAGCTCAAACTGTACGACTTCCTCGCAGAACAGATCTCACGAGCCAGGCGCTCACACTGTACGTCTGGTAGCAACACGTCGGACCTAAAAAATATGCTAGAAATAGCCGTTTTTACACAACACGTCAGACTTTTTAGTCTTGTCTTGCCTGTTGTCCTTCGGGAGCGCTGCAGGAGGACACACAGGGATTTATGGGGGTTGGATGAGGAAAACGAAATAAAGAAAGTAAATCTGTGTTTTGTGATTGGTTTAATTTGACATGAATACGACAAACACGCTTTCTTGACAATCCTTGTCATTGTGTGTAAAAGACGTGTAGAATAAAAACGAACGTGTGTTATTGGGGAAATAGCGGGTGAGCGGTGTTGATGCATGATTGCGCATGCGCCGTGAGCACTTTTTGGGTCGCAGCTGCTCGCAGCGCCGCTTCAACCCTCACGAGGAACGAGCAAAATATCAAACACTCCAGAAGTCCGTGCGAGCTCACGATTTCTGATCGGTAGCCAGGGGCGTGTCCAGGGAGTGGCCTGGGGTAGCACATGCCACCCTTGGAATCTGATTGGCCACCCCAGGTGCCACTCCACTAAGTTCCAGTTTAAACTGACTTTACATCGTCGACAAAAGGCTTGAGTTGTAAACTCCAAAAATAGTGTGTGGTAGCATGAACCTTTCACCTTGTCTTCTAGCCCAGGCCTACAGAACATTTCTGTAGTATTAATATTATTTATTATTTTTTCATATTCACATAAATAGTATTTAGAGTCCCACTCAACTCCAGTTGGTGGCAATAATGCAACAAGAAGTGACTTGCTAACCACCACAAAGCTAGAATATGAATAGAAAAAAATGGTGATTGTGCAATGTGAAACTCCAAAATTCACTAGAAAGTAAATAAATAAACGATTTGTGTAAATAAATAAATAAGCATAACCATTGGTGCCACCCATGCATAAACAAGTGCCACCCCATTTTAAAAGTCCTGGACACGGCTCTGTCGGCAGCTGGTCACGTGGTGTTAATCGCCTCTTGTAACCCCCTGTACACTACACGACGCTCAGCGCAACACTCGCCCCGATCTCGTGGATTCTCGCACGAGTGGAAAATCGGCTCAAAAAAGTGAAAAAGTCGCACAGTGTACGCCCGGCTTTAGTCTGATACCCATAACTGTTCCTAACTCGCCCTACCTCTGGTTGGTGTTTCAGTGTCGGTACGTCAGGCTCCACACGAGGATTCTGCACTAGACCTGACCCCCATCGATGCTGACTTCACGTGGCACAAGAAGAAGATGGCCCTGGAGATGGAGATCCAGGAAGCCTTCCTTCGTTTCATGGCCTCCATCCTGAAGGGCTACCGGTGCTACCTCAAACCCATCACCCAGGCGCCATCCGAGAAGGCCACGGCTGCGGACTCCCTTTATGACCTGCAAGGTGAACGCGCGCACACACACACACACTCACACAGCCCTGAACGTTGGATCAATCAGAGATGCCCGTCCCATCAGCTATAATAAAACTTTATTAATGCTGGGAAATGCTTTCATTTAGCCTGCTCTGATTGATCCAGAAGCCTGCGTATCTGATCACCTCTTAATCTGACCCTACTGAAGGTTTCCTGAAGAGCAGGGACAGAGCCCATCAGAAGTTCTACTCCCAGCTCACCAAGACCCAGATCTTCATCCGCTTTATTGAGGAGTGCACCTTCGTCAGCGACAAGGACACCGGTTTGGCGTTTTTTGACGACTGTGTGGAGAAGGTGATTTTGTTGGTGTTTTGTTTTTCCTCTCCCACTCAAGGTCGCTTCCTTCCAGGAACAAGCCCTTTTGTTTTTCCGCTGCTTTATTGGTGGAATAACAGCGGAATGCTGGGATGACTAAGGAAGGCCAAATTTCCTCTGATTCATTCTGTTGCCTTTGCTTTCTTTCCTCTTCTTGCAGCTTTTTCCCTCTGATAAAATCACCGACAAGGGCACCAAGGTAAACTTTAATCACGTTTTCTTCCAGCTTGTCTGTGCATGTTTTTAATTTGCAGTTTGTGCATCATTAAACAAGACAAATACTTAACATTTTCCCTTTAATACACATACACAACACAGGTGTGCAGACATTGTCGGCTTTCTTTAATCCTACTTATAACCAAACATGTGTTACATTTACAGATGGTGTAGAAATTTTTCTTATTGTTTTTATAGTTTTGTAACAAGAAGCCGGACTTTATTACATCATTTTGAAGATTTTCTTAACGTTTTTTTGAAGATTTAGCAGAGATTTCATTGGACATTGGCTGCCTTTCCGCTCAGTATCATTTAGGGAAGTAAGAACATATCGATGCACTGAAATCTCAGGATATTTTCTCTTGTGGCACTGAATCAATATTTAAGAGCAGTGAGTAGATTTGTTTTTATTTGACATGCAAACATTTCCCGTTTATCTTTTGTGAGGTGCAATTCAAACTCCGACTACTAGGTGGCAGCAGTTTTACCGCCTTTATTCTGATGGAACGATGAGATCTCACCGTAATTCCGGATGTGTCTTGGAGGCGTCCGACCTGAGTTGTCTAAATAAATAGCAAATGTTGTCAGGCTTTGAGTATTGTAATAGATCGTATAGTCGTCCCCTGTATTGTGATGTAATCCCTTCCCTAGAATCGGTCGCTGTACACATCTCTTTAGAGAAGAGTCCGTTTTGTTTTGTTTAGGAAACTGCGAGCAACTCGAGAGTAGCTAACGTAGTTTACCGAACACAGTTGTGTGAAAACGATCCAGTTCTACGGCCAAAGTTCAAAGGAGAACACCAAGAGCTCTACAGAATGCCTGGAGAAATGTTTTATTTTCAGTTTAATTTGGTTCACTTATTCAGAGCCACTTCAAAATAAAACAACAGATCCAGTTCATGTCAGGTCCAGAATCAAGCCAGGTGTTTGCAGGCAGTACTGAACGAGATGGCGTTTTAAGAAGTGACTCAAGGCTTTACCACGCAGCCATATGATGTGGTTGTTTAACTTCTGCTGTCAGACAGGAAGTGACCTGCTTCATCTCTGGATCTGCTCCCTTCCTCCCTGCAGGTTGAAGGGGACTCGTCTGAGGACACGAAGCTGCTGGAGCTGGATGAATCTCAGAAGAGTGAACACACGGTCTTTGTGATGCCTCCTGAGCCTCCAGCTGACAACGGACCGGAACCTGCTCCTCGCTACACGTAGGATTAACCACTGTAAGCCACACTCGTGCACCCCTACGTGACTCGTTGACCCTTTTATTTTCTGTTCTCCAGTTATAAAGGTTTCCCTAAGCTGCAGATGGATCTGTTCGACCGTCCCAGAGAGTTGCGTCCAGCTCTAAGGACCAGTGCAGCGGGGGCGAGTCTCTCCAGCAGCCCCGCTCTACTGGCTAAACGAACCAAGCAGGTATTTCATCCGATGATGATGATGATGCAAAAAATGCAGTTAATCACATCCGACCTGCTAAAACTCGACTCTGACCGCTGCGATTCAACAGGAGATCAAACTAGCGTCCAAGATGGCGAAACGGTTCTACTCCAACCCGCCTTTGTGGGCGCGCTGCCTGTTCAGCCATTGCTACAGCCTGTGGTTCATCGCCCTGCCTGCCAGCGTCCGGCTGGCCAAGTCCAAGAGCCGGGCCATGCAGCAGGCCTACAACATGCTGCTGAACATGAGGACCAAGGAGGTGGAGGTGCTCGATGAGGTAACTTGCTAATAATAATAGTAATAATAATAATAATAATAATAATGCATAGAACTTATATAGCGCTTTTCAGGACACTCAAAGACGCTTTCACACTCTCACATTCACACACTGCTAGTGATGGTAAGCTACTTTGTAGCCACAGCCGCCCTGGGGCGGTCTGACAGAGGCGAGGCTGCCATTTGGCGCCGTCGGCCCCTCTGACCACCACCAGCACAGGCAAGTTGGGTGAAGTGTCTTGCCCAAGGACACAACAGCAGGATACCCCTGGCAGGAGATAGAATCGATCCCATGACCCTCCGAACATGGTGCAACCCGCTCTGCCACCTGAGCTACTGCTGCCCCTAACACCTGGTGATCTTTTTAGAATCACTCTTAAAAACTTTTTTTTATATTGGTGTGTTTGTGTGTGTGTGTGTGTGTGTGTGTGTGTGTGTGTGTGTGTGTGTGTGTGTGTGTGTGTGTGTGTGTGTGTGTGTGTGTGTGTGTGTGTGTGTGTGTGTGTGTGTGTGTGTGTGTGTGTGTGTGTAAGGTGTGTTACAGGGTGGTGATGCAGCTCTGTGGTGTGTGGGGTCTTCCTGTCATGGCTGTGCGAGTCCTGGTGGAGATGAAGAAAGCTGGAGTTCATCCCAACGCCATCACCTATGGATACTACAACAAGGTAGTCAGTCGCATCTTCATTCTCCTGCTGGTCGATAAAAACACCTGTAAGTGAAACGATCCGCACCTCTTGTTTCTACAGGCCGTCTTGGAGAGCCCGTGGCCCAGCCGTAACCGTAGCGGCCATTTTATGTGGACTAAGCTGCGTAACGTCGTCCGAGGAGTGGCTCAGTTCAAGCAAACTCAAATCCAAACGCCGTCCACGATAGTTACCACAGGTAGATTAGATAGACTAGAATAAAACTTTGTCTACCGTAGTGGAATTTTTCCTTTGGCTCTCAAAAATACAAACATTCACATATATAGACTCATGTGAGACTACGGTTGGATTTCATCATTTGCATTAGTTGAGGGTTATTCCAGCACTAGGAACAAATTACTTCTTATCTATATTGTTGGTTGCCAGAGGCACCCTGTAACGTCTTCCAGAGTTCAAAGGTTCAAACTGACAGAAGAGTGGATGATGCTGCAACGTTCCTCATCCCTTCAGCAGCCAATTGGGAGATGGTTTTTGTGGTCTGCCCATGAGACAATTAGTAAAAGTTTGGCTTTAGATTACATGACCATCTGTCTCCTCCTGCTCTGTGTTGTTGTATTTATGCGACGGTTTTCCTCTTGTTTAGATGCCTCAGTGAAGGAATCGGTAGCCACAGATGTTGATGACTTGAGTCACGGAAGTGCTCACAGCTCAAGTGAAGTCATCGGTGAGGAGCACAATGAGGATGCATCAGACGGGCACTGTAACACAGGTACCAGGTCCCTACGGCTGCTCATCTCACTCACATCATCCCCGTGTTTGGAGGAAAAAGATTTGAATGTCTCACAACCTGTTTATCTACAGGAAGACAGTCTGACCAAGGATATGGGTCTAAGGACGAGTTACACCAGGAATTGGCTGAGCCTTCTCCTTCTGATGATGCTGCTGACCAGACGAACAAAGAAGAAACGGACCATAACGGTGAACAAAATCATCTTATTTTTGCCATTATCAGGGATTTAAAACAACACTTGGACCCCCCCACCCTCACTCACTCACTCACACACACACACACACACGCAGGTAGAAAGTGTAATGACAACTGTCATTAACAACCCTGCTGTAGCTAGTGCTAACAACGAACTAACGCTAACATGAGACAACTGATACTAAATAAATCACGAAGTAAAAAGATCCAGACTGTTGAGCAAAAATATTATTGCTTAGTCCAGTAGCAACAAAGCCAGGTCACCATCAGTCCATAATTTCATAGCCTCCTCAAACTAGCGTAAGCCACTGTTCCCTCTGGCGTCACCTCCAAAGACATTACTGTCTTACTTCCAGGCTCCACCATGATGCCAACAAAAAAAGCAAAATTCTTCCTCTTGTGCTTTTTATTGATGGTTGGCAAACTGGGAAAGCTAACTGCTAGCCTTTATATGTGCAACTGTCACTGTAAGCGGCTATTGCCATAAAGCAGGTAGAGACCTTCCAACTGTGCTTACCCACACTGCCAAAGTTTTTAGAGCAGTGTCTGGTCAGCAGAGGTCTAGAGTGTTGTCCAAAGGGACGTTACTCATGTTTCAGGCTCAAGAATGACTGAAACCAGTTTGAAAGCAATAACTTTAAGTGTTAAAAACTCAAAAGGGTTGCTTTAAAATCACTCCACCTTTGTGTTTTATGATTGTTTGTTTTTCTTTGTGTGTCTTTCCATCTCCAGTAGGGGACATTGCTGGCTCGGTGGACAGTGCTTTAGCAGTGGCAGAGCCCCCCAGTCCTGTTGAAGTTTCCTCGCCTGTCCCCAGTATTGTTAAACTGTCCACAGGAAGCTTTGATGGTGGCAGGGAAACTAGTAAGAAACGGGAAGGGGGAGGGGATTTGTTTCAACCCAGAGAGTTTAGGGGCCTGACTTTGTTTTGGTTTGAACTGTGCAGCGAAGGTGAAGCTGTTCAGGAGGCACAGTAAGAACGACAGCGTGTCTCTGACTGATGAGGACTCTGCTCCAGCAACGGGAGACACAGTGGCTCAGACCCAGCAGCAGCAGCGGCAGAAGGCCTTCTCCGAGCGCAGCTGCAGCTTCAGTGTTGAGAGTCGAGCTGGTATGCTCCTGGAGAAAGGCGTGGACCACATGGCCAGCCAAATGGGCGCTGACGCTCGTATCCTGGCTGCAGTGCTCTCTGAAGCTAAAACTCCACCAGCCATCAGTGTGTCCAAAGCTCTTTTTGAAGACCTGGAGGAGGAGCCTGAGGATGGAAAGGGTTCGTCGCATAAGAAACTTGTAGAGGGAGGAGTTGCGGGAGCGTTGGAGGAAAGCAAAGGAGACGAGGAAGAGGGGAAGGCAGCTCAGGGACAGGAGAAACGTGAGAGGAAGCAAACTGAAACACAAGAGGAGGAGTCTGGGCTGAGAGGAGCTACCTTAGAGAGGGCGGATGTGGAGGCGGGGGCCGACCCGCTCTCCCTCCTGGTGTCAGAGAGTGAGGAATCGGCTTCTGTGAGCAGCCAGGAGCCGCCACGCGGCGTGCCAGCAGTTGTGTCCCGTAACCTGGCTGAGGAGATTGAAATGTACATGAGTCTACGAGGTCCTACAGGTGCAAAGTCCTCCAGCATGGAGCTGCAGCCGTCCCAGGAAGACTCCAGCGACGGCCCTCCGCCCCAGAAGCCCCTGGAGCGACGGTCCAGCCTCCCTGTAGCACCTGTTAAAACTCCATCCAGCTCACCAGGAGATACGCCCAAACGCAGCCCCAACACCGTTACTCGCTCAAAGACTTTTGCAATAAAAACCAAAACTCCTGGAATCACCACAGCGAGTCCTGGACCCAGATCTACGTCTCTGACGGCTCTGGTCATGTCCTCACAGGGAGCGTCGCTGGGCTCCGTCATCAACACCATTTCTGGCATCAAAATGGACAACTTGTTGTCGGGTCCCAAAATCAATGTGCTGAAATCAGGCATGAAGCAGGCAGCAAACGTGGCCAGCAAAATGTGGGGCGCCGTGGCGTCGGCATACTACTCCGACGACGAGGTGAGCGTCTCTGAAGCTTTGGCGAAAAGCGTTTTGTAGTTTTGATGCCTTCATGGTGCGGACTCTTCTGTTTGATGCGCCTCTACAGGAGGAGCAGGCTGTGGGCGGGGGAGGGTTCCCAGCCCACCTGGATGAACACATGCTGCCTGCACAGGACCTGGACCAGAGTCCTGAGAGAAGAGCCGTTCCAGGTCTGGTGTCTAACGGTCTGAACCAGAGCTGCACCAGCCTGGGCAGCAGCAGCGGCAGCAGCGACACCGGCAGAGGGACTCAGACACGTAAGAACACTACCCAACACATCGCTCCTCTCCAGACTTCTTTCTGAGGGTCTGTTCTGTGTGTGGCTGCAGACCCAACTCCAGGGCGAGCTGGTAGGGGCCCAGACTCTGAGCAGAGCTCCTCACATCACGCTTCCTCCTCCAGCATCTACCAGAATTGTGCTCTTGAAGTTGGTCTCACACACACACACACGCTGCTGCTGGAGTTCCTCTTCACTGGTTGATCATTACTTCTCCTCCCCAGGTGCTGATGTCCAGTTGCTCTCAGTGTCGCTCCTGTGAAGCTCTGGTGTACGACGAAGAGATCATGGCAGGATGGACAGCAGATGACTCCAATCTCAACACCAACTGTCCTTTCTGTCGCACAGCCTTCCTCCCTCTGTTGCACATTGAGTTTCACGACCTGCGCTCAATGTCTGAGTAGGAACAGTGTTTTGTGGAATTTCTTCTTTTATGTCTCATTGTTTAAAGCGGAAACCTGGAATATTTTATCCAATGGCACCATCTAGACACATAAAAATGCATTGCGCCATAAGTTCGCCTCCCTACTTCAGCGATTACGACCTCTCGTTTGTGAACACGCACCTCGAGCTGGCCAAAAGAAAAAAACGCATAGTTTTACAATCATTAATATTGTTCATTAGTGATTTAGCCAACTCTGCATCAGTCTAGGTACTTCCACAAATAATCTGTGATTGACATCTGTACATAAGCGTACGCTATTGGCTAATGCTGATCAGCACTTTTTCCTATTGCTTACATCATATCACATTACAGGGTAAGACTAATTTTTTTCGTGGTTCTCAAAAAATCCCACATAATTTCTGAAAGGGGGAAAGCTCCATGTTGCTGCTTTAAGCAATGCTGTTTCTTGCCGTCCAACACTCCCATTTCTGCAAATGTAGGATCACATCATCCAGGACACGCTGCCTATGAATTTTGGTATTTATATTCATATGTTTTAACTTTTCCTGTGATTTTTATTCAGCCCGTTGGAGTACAAGTAAATTCTTTCCAACACAATACATTAAAAAATCATGTAAAAGTTGGCATAATCTAAATTTAAAGGCATGGTGAACACAGTAAATGTAAAAAAAAAATGTAAAGACAAACACCCTAGTGAACTAGACCAAATTATTGCCTTGCAAAACCGTAGCTGCTGTGATTGGTCCACAATGTTGTGCCAATTACAGCGCTCTATCCGCTTTGTAGGCTAATCAGGGCCCACTATTTATCTGGTGGGCGGGATAATGCAACAGAGTTGAACCAGATGGCGACAGCTCATTTAAAATAGCTTTTACATCACTTTTGGACTATTTGGACTTGAGCTTTATTAGAATCAGGAGAAGAAAGATGTATTTAAGTCCTTTAGAAAAAATTATGTAATTTCGCCTTCTTCAACAGTGGACTGCATCGTTTACCGACATCCGTTGCGGTTAGTATGTCATGTTGTTCGTTGCCCAGTAGCGTGCGAAGATCGTTTGAAAGGCAACGGTAGAACCCGTCCCATGACCGAGAGCCGTCAGTGGAGCGTTGGTGGACTAAATAATATATTTATTTAATCTGGCTTGCCAGGCTGAGACATACATGGAATATATGTAAATTTCAGCTTCACTTCAGTTCTTTAACACCTTCAGCGTCATTTTCAGCAATAAGCATTCAAACAGCATTTATGCAAGAAATGCATTTAATCTAGTTATTGTTATGAACAATGCATCAGAAAGGGAATGGAACACTGGTAGACATAGGAAGCAATGTGGGTGGAGCCTAGCATTAAAGGTACGGTAGACAAGTAACCGTGGTGAGGCAAGTAGGTGGAGTTGAATTAGCATTCAAACAGCTTTTCAGCAGGAACTATAATAATAATAATAATACATTTTATTTCAAAGCGCCTTTCAGGACACCCAAGGTCACTTTACAGAAAACACGTAATAAAATACAATAAAACAATAATAAAACCCAAACAAGAATAAACAAAGAGAGAAACAGTTCAATAAAATCAGAGGTTGTAGGCAGATTTAAACATGTGTGTTTTGAGTTTTGATTGGAAAAGGGTAAAACTGTCGATGTTCCTGATGTCTGGGGGAAGTGAGTTCCAGAGACGGGGAGCAGAGCGGCTGAAAGCTCTGCTCCCCATGGTAGCGAGACGGGCAGAAGGAACCGCAAGATGGATGGAAGAAGAAGATCTGAGAGAACGGGATGGGGTGTGTGAATACTTATAAGGTCTGAGATATATGGAGGAGAGAGGTTGTGGATAGCTTTGAAGGTATGGAGGAGAATTTTGAAGATGGACCTGAATTTAACTGGGAGCCAGTGAAGCTGCTGGAGAACCGGCGTGATGTCGTGAAAGGAAGGGGCTCTGGTGATAATACGGGCTGCTGAATTCTGGACCATTTGCAGTTTATGAAGGAGTTTGTTGGGGAGACCATAAAGAAGTGAATTGCAATAGTCGATACGGGAGGTGACAAGGCTGTGGACGAGAATGGCGGCAGTGTGAGGGGTCAGTGAGGGACGGAGACGGTTTATGGAACGTAGATGGAAGTATGCTGACCGAATTAAGTTATTAATGTGAGCTTGAAAAGAAAGTGAGCTGTCAAGAATGACACCCAGACTCTTGACGTGAGGGGAGGGGGAGACTATGGCGCTGTCAATAGTTAAAGAAAAGCTGTCAGATGTTGAGAGGGTGGAGTTAGTGCCAACTAGAAGAAGTTCAGTTTTATTGCCGTTGAGTTTGAGGAAATTAGAGGTGAACCATGATTTGATTTCAGAGAGGCAGAATGTAAGGGAGGATGGTGGGAGAGTTGAGTTGGGCTTACTGGAAATGTAGAGCTGGGTGTCATCCGCAAAGCAGTGAAACTGGATATTGAATTTGCGGAAGATTTTGCCGATATGGAGGAGGTATACTATGAAGAGGAGGGGCCCCAGGACAGAGCCCTGGGGCACACCTGACTTGACTGGGGAGGGTTCTGAGGTAAAGGATTTTAACTGGATGAACTGAGTGCGGCCAGTAAGGTAAGATTGAAACCAGCTGAGGGGGGTGTGAATGATGCCTAAGGAAGAGAGTCTATTGAGGAGGATGGGATGAGAAATGGTGTCAAAGGCCGCACTCAGATCGAGGAGAATAAGAATAGAGATTAAACCAGAATCAGCAGCAATGAGTAGGTCGTTAGTGATCTTAACTGTGAACTGTGATAAATCTAGTTTTCCGTAGTTTTGAGCAAACATAACATAAAAAGAAAAATATCTAATTTGCTAAAGGCTAGTTCAGGTGTTTACCTGTTGGGTTTTGTGCTAATGTGTGAAACAGAACAATAAAAATACATCACTGAGATGTTCCCTTAACGATGAAAAGTAAAACCTGCATCTGTTCTTTGCTTCTGTCAGCTTGTACATGAATCCCAGTGCCTCAGGAGACAGCATACACAGCACCAGTCCTCAGCCTACAACTAGCGGCTCAGCTGAAATGAAAACCCCAGACCTAATCTCTTTCTCTGAGGAGGAGCCCAAGGAGGCTTCAAATGGTCCACCTGGAACACAGAAGAGGTAAAAACAACAAAAGCTACATCTGTCAAATGTTCCTGGACTCCTGCTGCAGAAACCTCATCCAAACTCCTCTGTGTGTTCAGTCTGGTCCCAGAGCCGGTCCAGTCCGACCCCCTGGGTCTCCTGGGGCACCAGGCAGCAGGTAAGCAGCAGAAGTGCAGCGGCACTTCACTGACGCGCAGCAACAGTGTTGGAGGTCCGCTGCAGAGCTTGGACTACTCCCAGAGACCGGGTCACGGCGTCTCCACCACCAGCCTGCCCTGTAGCCTGCAGGAGATGTCGGTCAGTGCTCCCCACCAAGAGCAGAGTTCTAACCTGCACTAGGTTGGGTTTGATTGGTGGAATTTATTGTTTTTTCAGGACGGCATCGGACAAAAGCGTCCAAATCCCAAGCCTGTTTCTGTGCCGTACCTGAGCCCCCTGGTCCTGCGCAAAGAGCTGGAGACCCTGTTGGAGAACGAGGGGGATCAGGTGACCTCTCACTGTCTGCTCAGTGTGTCCCAGACCGATACCAGGTTTCTAACACCTCTGTTCTGTCTGATCAGGTCATCTACACACACAAGTTCCTCAGCCAGCATCCCATTATCTTCTGGAACCTGGTGTGGTATTTCCGCCGCCTGGACCTCCCCACCCACCTGCCGGGTCTCATTCTGAACTCTGAACACTGCAACAATGGAGTACAGGTTAAACAGCATGCTGCTTTGTTCCCTCATTCCTTCAGCCTGAGTCGCATAAAATCTGCAGATCAGTGTTGGTGTTCAGCATGAATGTGTTTTTGCAGCTTCCCCTGGCGTCCCTGTCTCAAGACAGTAAACACGTTTACGTACAGCTGCTGTGGGACAACATCAACCTGCACCAGGAACCCGGAGAACCTCTGTACCTGCTCTGGAGAACCTTCTGTGAGTGACGGGAAGCTTCATGCTGCAGAAAGAGAGCACCACCACTAGAGGGCACTAGAACATTTCACATGCCGTAGCCGAAATGTTTATTATTCTGGATGGAGTGGCCAGAAGTCATTAGATACTGCTGCTTTTTGTGTTTAGTGGAGAAGAAGGGGACTTTGGCTCCAACGGACCACCAGGAGATCCGAATCCTCCTGAACACCATTGTCCGTAACATCCAGACGAACGACGTCTACGGCCCCATCAACCTGCTGATCCGAGAGATCAAACGGCAGCCAGATAGAGTCAAACGACAGAGGTCAGCCTCGTCTGCTCTGACGTTGGTTTGTTGTGTTTATCAGCAGAACATTTTTGACGTTTGTTTGCTTTCTCAGGAGTATATACAGAGAAATCCTCTTCCTGTCACTGGTAGCCTTGGGACGGGAGAACATCGACGTGGGTGAGTGAGTCAGAGTTAACTAATCAACAGCACCGGCGTTATTCTCTTTATTTTTCTGACCTCTCCCCCACCCTCTCTCTGCATCTGCAGAGGCCTTCGACCGTGAGTACCGCCAGGCGTACGACGAGCTGAGCCCGGAGCAGCTCAAGTCTCTGCAGCGCATCGATCGCCCGCCCACCTCCAGTATCCAGTGGTGCCTTAAATGTTTTGGACCCCCTGTCATCTGAGCCGCTCGGATCTCAAGAACGCTGTAGAAAATCCCTCCAGTCGCTGAACGTGGTACTCATGTCTTTGAAGCTGCGGTTCCCCTGCATCTCTCCTGTTGTATTTTCGCTCTTCTCATGCAGCGGTGATGTTTTAGGTCTCGTTGAGCCACGTTTCACGACCATAACCGAACAGAATGTCCACGAGTGGATTTACTAACCGTCTCCAGGTCAGATGCAGAGCACAGGAAACCGACAGTTTTTGTGCTCCTTCTGTAAATATACATGTTTGTACATACGTTTCCATTTGAGTGAAGCCTGAAACCTTAGGTGCCTGTTTTTGTTGATTCTCACCCGAGTCTTAACGATCGTGAAGCTGTGTGAGTACACGAACTCACGCTGCCGACGTCTGGCGAAGCCCGAGCATGAAGGAACCCCACACTTCTGATTCTGTTAACATCCAGACTAACACGGGGAGAGATGAACAGCAGCTCGGCGTGTTGTGCGTAACTTTTGATAACTGCTGGTTTTTTCCCCCCAACAGTAACATCCTGTTCTAGTAGAGCTGAAACCGTAGGACCGGTCCTGACCAGGGCCGTTGTTTCTCTAGCGTAGGGGAGTTTTAACGTAGACTGGGTGTTGTTTTAGCGTTAGCCCAGTGTTTTTGAATGTTAGCGAGGGTAGAAGCACATAGAGCCAAGAGCTTAGTGCTGATGCTGCGAGAGGAGATGTGACATTCCACTAAATGCTGAAGCAGACAGTAAATCGGAATAGTGCTGTGATGAGCTATTGGGAAAAGGATTGTGGATTTTGTTTATACATTCTGGGAGAGTTCACTTGTACAGATTAGATCATGTAAAATATTCCATTTGCACTGCTTAGATTAAGATCTGAGAATAAGATTATTCATTAAAATAACATTAAACAGTTGTGTCCAAAAATTTAAAAAATAATTCTGCTATTTATTTTTGTATTATTGACATTTGGATTGCAGATGGTTTGGTGGCAATGGATTTTTATAACTAATAGCATCCTGTTCCCTTTAAATCTGTCTTACTGGACTCATCCTGTACTGACTTTGTACATTTAATTTCCTTGGCTGTACAGAAAAAAACTTTTTTTTTTTAAGTAATAGATTACCATCCTGTGGAAAGGAAATGAATGTCTGTCCTGAACTGTGCTGCAATAAACGAGTTTGTGAACTGATTGAAAACAAATGTGTGCATAATTTTGTTTGTGTTGTCCAGAATTAAAACTACTAATTAATTTAATATAGATTTTAATGTACAAAATCAATAAAGAAATCACCTTAATTATGTCCTGTGCAGTGCAGCTCGTCCATAGGGGGTGCTAGTGTGCCGCTCTACCTGACTTGAAGGGCGAAAAAAATCTAAAAACTACATAACGCTACATATGTATATTAACAAAGGACAGACGTTGATGCTCTTGTTTACATGCAATCTGAATTGTTTACTTATTTTCACCAGCTGTCTCAAAACAATTAATTTCCCCTAACAGATTCACTAGTTTCACTCCTGCAACACTAGAAACTAGGCCCAAGAGCTGCAGCTTAACACCCAATCCTATTTGATTGCTAGGGAGAACTGGAGGATTTTTGGCCAATCAGCATTCATGAATACCGAAAACAAAACACTAGCCAGTATTCTAGAAGGGTCTGGATCCCCTTCTTTCTCTCATTCTGATTCACCCAAACTCACTGTTGGTTTATGTAGACAGAGCTGAAATACCTGTAGCTGTTTCAGTCAAATGTGTACATTTGTTCTCATATCTAATTTAATTCCACATTTAGCCACTAGGGATAGAAATGTTTTAGGCAGATGAATATGACACACACACACACGAAAACTCAGGCTGAAACATAAACTCGGACAAAATTAAATATAAATAATAACAGAAATTGTACTTCAGTTGCACTCAGACTCACACAGTAGGCTTTGACTAATTATAATTATAAGTGACTTAAGTGGGGAAATATTTTCACTCATGGCCCCACAGGTGCGGTGTGTATCCTTCCGCTGGATGGACCGCTGCATCGCCTCACGCTCAGCGGATGGATACTGTAATTAAACTAGCTCCAGTCCAGCCAGGTGTGCGCTTGTAAGCAGGTGTGGATTTAAAATGGGGTTAACTGGGCTGCTGCTACTAATATTTTCCCAACTCAAAACTAGGTAGAACGACAAAATGTCAGCGAGACGGGAGAAGACCGCGACAAATCAGCAGGACAACGAGCAGCAGAGCCAGGAGAGACGCCGGCGTAGGATGGCGCTCTTCATCCAGCAGTTTGAAAAAGACGGTAGGGTTAATTTAAAGCTCCCATGCCCAATAACGGGCTCTTCAGCTTGGTTCAACTCTTGTCTCCAGCACAAGAACGGATGAGATATTTAGAGGCTAAACTGGAGAGCATGCTGGCCACCGTGGACAAAATCTTCAAAGTGGAGCTGATGAAGATGCCTCCTTCTCTTCAGAACACCCTCATGGGAGATCTGATCTGCGGTGAGCCTCTCAAAGGGTCCAAATCAGACCAGTTTCCTTATTAATCTGACTCTGCTTTTCTGCTTTAGAGGAGGAAGCATCAGCCAGTGAAGTCTCGATAGCCATCAGGGTGAGTCTGTTGGAATTAAAGGCCCATTCTTTAATAAATGAGATAATTGTGAACTTCTGCAGAACGAGTCCCGTGAGATGGACCAACCTTTCAGACTGATAACCAGCAAGAGATGTGAGTTCAAACTTCACTGATTCATGCATGAAAAATCCTCAGTGCAGTGAGATGGTGGCTGTTTAGTTACAGATGTTTTGGTTTGTACATCATAGTGAAATATTTAAGTATCAAGCAAAGATGCCTGATTAAATACATCATGTAGTTAAAGAACTACCATTAATTGTCTGTTCTAGCCAACTTTGTTCTTTGTAAAACCTACTACTTAACAATTTATAACGGGCATTGTTCCTCTTTTACAGTTGGAAAGGCCCGTTTAAGGTCAAAGCTCAGACTGTCTCAAAGATCCTTATGAAACCAAATCTAACTTTAGGAGTCTATCTCCCTGCAGAGTTTAAAATCTTAACCAAACCTACATTTTTGTTCTATCTTGTGGGTCTCTGTTTTTAAGAGGTTGCTCCTATTTTTATACATTTGCACTTGTTTCTAGCAGGAATGAATGCCTTGGAAAGCCTATTTCACACTGAAGGCATCAATGCAATCATTATTTAACCTTTATTTATCCAGATGAGTCAATTTGAGAACTCATTCTCATTTGCAACAACGATCTAGCTAAGTGGTAGCAGCAACAGACACATAGTTAGCTCTACACCAAAGACCAACTACTAAGATAAAAATAAGGAAAGATTTATATATATATATATATATATATATATATATATATATATATATATATATATAAAATCAGATGTACGTTGATCAGAAACTTGATTGCAATGAATTATTGAAGGTAGGTATTGGAGTGTAGGAAGTGAGCTTCAGTGATTTTTCACAGCTCATTCCAGTTGGGAGCAGCAAACTGGAATGAGGAGCGACCAAAGGATGTGCGAGCTTTGGGAATAATCATAGATATTAGGTTACTGGAACGTAAATTGTGCTGGTTGTTGGAAGTGTTAGGGTTGTACTGATAGTTTTGTATATAAATTGATACCAGTGTAACAACCTGTGGGAATGGAGTGATGGCCAGTTAACAAACGAGTGCAGATCACAATGATGAGGTGTGCCTATTTGAGAATGTAGTCAGCTGGAGGGGAGTGGGAGAATACAGCAGGATATGGAGTTATTTTTTTTATTTGGACATGTCTCATCTGATTGCTCTGCAACGTGAATGTTTTATCTCCACAATAAACTCTTGCCTGGAGTTCTACTGTTGTATAGTTGCTAATGCTTAGTTAGCTTCTGCTAGCCAAGGCGTTTCCCGCGTTTTCCTGGGTGATAAATCGACAGCCTTCCCCGTCATGAGTCAAGATGGGTGAGTCCATGAATGTTAAGTGATGGTGTGATGTAGATCTGTCAGGATTTTCAAATCCTAGTTTCACCCATAGACATCATGTAACTAGTCACCCAGTGGACTGGTGCTGTCTATTGGAGCTGCTTTAGTGGCTGGCTGCCATCTTGGATGGGTCTCCATTTACCCCAAGTGCATCTGTGGCGCAATCCCAATACTCGCAGTGCACCCTGCGGTCTTCAGCAAAGTGCACTTGGAGAAAGTGCGCAGTAAGGTTTCGTGTGCGAGGTAAACAAGTGTGCAAATATTTGCCGAATTGAGACCGGAACTATTGCGTTTTCGACCGCAAAGCATGCCAGGACGCTGGTCTTGTATTAACTTTAAAACAACCAATTATTTTAAATGATTTGCATTCATTGCTGCTTTGTTTAAAGGTTTCAGAGCATCAACTAATCATCCTAAAATAAACTACCAATACTTTAATCGTACAACACATGTTTTGACAAAAGGCACTTGAGCCTTTTCTCCCACAGGAATGGATTGTGGGTAATACCCTTCACTCAAGTTTTCATCAATGCGGACTTAAAGTTTGGATCAAGGGTGCAAAAGGGACGTGATCAACTTCTGCACTTGAGAATCAGGACACCCTACGCACTTGCAGCCCTAGTTGGGAGTGCACAATTGAAGGTACACAAATGTTGAAATGCGAGTTTTGGGATTGGGCCTACTTCTACTGAGAAAGGTGTCGACCCAGCTAAAAAAGACACGTTAGGCTTTTTCACGAAACTAGACATAGGAATTGGCATGAAAGGTAATTTACGAAGATTAAATAAATTAAACCGCATAGTCCCATCAGGTAAGCTGGGAAAGTCGGCAGTAATCCCACGTGATCTGTTTTCAATAATGCGTCGCTTGTTACTACTGTAGGCTGTACAAAACGGGCAGTTGCTCACCCTGCATTGACCCTAGTTGGGTTTAGAGATTGAGGAACCCGTGCAACATGGCGGCTACACTGTTAAGCTTTCCTGCGCCCAATGGGGCTTCTACATATTCATGTCTATGGTTTCACTGTCTATTCTATTGGAAGCTAATGCAGAAGATGGAGGTACAAGACAATTCGCCAAAGAATGGCTGATTATAATCAGAAATAAGTAAATGTTTTATGTGTAAGTACTTTTTTTCTTAAATGCATCTTGTGTTTTTATATTGTGTGCGGATGTTTATCTAGCTCTGTCTGTGCGCGTTTTGCATGTTTCAGAGGGCAGCACTCTTAGGCTACATTTACTATTTTTATGAATGTAGCCCAAAAACCTCGACAAACCGTAGCAGTACAAAGATTTTCCTCTGCAGGATGGTCTAGCCTCAGCAGGCTAGCTTAGCCTATGCTGAGTTTAGGCCTGACCAATCACAGCACTAGAGAAAACTTATGCAGGCTTAGCATCAGAGCTGTGACAGAAAAAAAGGACAAGGATGGCGATGGCTTGAGGTTTGTTTTGAAACGGCGTATGCATCAACCTAAGACGCGTTAGACCAGGACTTTCTTTGAGACATGAGCAGATGGAGGTTTCTAAGTGTTTTAAAGATGATGTATTAGCTTCTTGTACAGAGTATGATGGGAGTGCATCGTTGACTTGATTTCTGTAGCAGCGAATACTAACAATTGTCATTGCTTCTAATGGTTTTGTCCAGTTGTGCAGTTTGAAAGAACCAGTAATTCCATCTTAATGACTGGCTGGTTTCAGTGGGTTGTAGCTAACTATACTTCTACATATTTAGGACGGTTTATCAAGCTAACTAGTTCTGTTGGAGTGATGTCTTGATTCTAATTCCCAGCACCAAGTCTGTTTCAATAGCTCTTAATATTGCAAAACAGCATTTTGTTGTTCAGGGCATCTTTGTATTGATATTGAAATTGTTTAAATATTCAGGTTATAAAAGCAAAATCTGAAGGAATCGGAGGCTGTAAATGGTGCAAACAGTTTCACAGAATTTTAAAAATTCTTATTTTCATTTGAAGTGAAATCGTCTGATTCTACACCGCCTGTAGCCCAGAGACCCGCTTCCAAAACTCCCAAGGTGATGTGTGCACAAACATGTCGGCTCTAGCGCTGACTCTTGTTTAGCAAAGGCTGGGTTTGATGTGAAATGGGTTTCCTTTACTTTCAGGGAGGACGAGGGGCCAAAGGGGACAGCGTGTTAGCTGGCAGCAGCAGCACAGGAACTCTGATGTAACACAACATAATAATCC